TGGAGAGTGAACTGTACATACCACCATTATATTTAAGAAGAGAATATCTTGCGTATAAATTTTTTGAAATCTCTTTCAAACTCTAATAGTGTAACTATAGATACAATATCAGAATTAGACTCTTTATCTAATAACAACTATTGGACAAATAAAGAAAACCCTTATTGGCTACTTCCTTTAAAGAGTTACGACACCTGCAAATTAATAGGTCTGATAGTCTGAGGATGTTCTCATTAGATACCTGGTTGTCTGGTTTTCATTTTAAGGATTATATTAAAAGTGAATTAGATTGTGTAACGCACTCAAAAAAATGGTATAATCACAATGCATTAATACATGAAGTGGTAGCAGAACTAACCTCTAAATATAATGGTTGGTATAAAATCTTCACAGATGGATCAAAGAGTATGGCTGGATGTGGAGCAGCATTCTTCCGCCAAGATATAGGTTATAAATGTATGTATAAAATTAATTCAGATATATGTATTATGTCGCTGGAACTATTTGCAATTTATCAAGCGTTATCTTATTCCCTAAGTCAAAATTTGAAAAAAGTAGTTATACTAACAGATAGCAAGAGTGCTTTACAGCATATGGCTCGATGCGCCTCTGATAGCAGAGGTGCATCGACAGCCTATGAAATTCTAAAACTATTACACTGCTATAATAATGATGGCATTAATATTATCTTGCAATGGGTTCCAGCACACTTGGGCTTAAGAGGCAACGAAGAGGCTGACCAATTATCCAAAATGGCAGTTGAGATGGGAAATGATACCATGTATGTGCCAGATTACTGGGAATATTTTTCTAGGTTCCAGAATATATGTTTTGATAAATGGATAAGCCACTTCAATGAAATTTCTAAAGATAAAGGCATCTGGTATAAAGTCATACAAAATGTACCCCCTCGTGGACCTTGGTTTGATGATAAAAACTTACCTAGGAATTATGTTAAGTTAGTGTTAAGACTTCGCTCTGGCCACTATCCATCGGCAAAGTTTGCCTTCTTAATGAGGAAAGTTTCATCGCCTAACTGTGAGATATGTCATAAAATTGAAGATGTGCAGCATTTACTGATGGAATGTGAAAGGAACAAGAATGAGAGGGAATCCTTGGCTAGAGAATTTAAACTAAACCTGTGGGATGTTGGACTTATGCAAAATATTTTAGCTCACCCTAAATCAAACATGTCTAAATGCATTATTTCTACCTTAATAAAGAGTTCTAGGCGATAATTCCCCTTCATTTAGGCAAAAGCATAGTTAAGTACGAAAAGTGTTAATAATATGTGTTTAATAATTTTATGAAAATAGTGTATAAGTTACAATGGGGTTGACATATCCATGTGGATAAAAACCCCTCACCAAATATAAGAGAATAAAAAAAAAAAAAAAAAAAAAAAATATTAACTTTATTATATCGTATATCATGGAATCGATTCTAATTCTATTGATAATAATTCTATTTTTGCATCTTGAATATGCAAGAAGAGGAAGGTAAGAAGCTGGAGAATGATATAGGCAATATTTTTAATATATGTACAAGAACAAGTACAAGAAGAAATAACTCAAACAAAACCTGAATAGAACCGTCAAAAAAAAATCTAAATTTAAAACCTGAATACATTCTAAGATTATCACCATGTCATCCGAACGTTGTTCCTACAGTACGTAGGTACGTTATCTGCCTGTCAAATCCAAAATATGATTGATCTGAATCTAGATAGGCCATCGTTCAGCTCCGTCGTATGCAAATATTGTTCATGGGTTTGTGAATAACGTAAAAACATTGAGTGTTAGCTCTTAGCTCTGAGTTTTTTGGGGAATGGAAAAATTAGAAGTGAGTTTTTAACGTAAAGTTTTAGAATTTAACTGTTTTGTTTTTAGATCGAGTTCGGTGGAGAGTCATTGAAGAGGCTTTAGTCCAACAGTGGATGAAAACTGGCTGATGATGAAGATGAAGATGGTAATGATGATGATAAACTATTTTGTTAAGTGTAGTGGATTGATTGAGTGAGACTGTTGATTTTTGCTGTGATTTTTAGGATAAATATCCGCTGATGTTAATAAACGAACTTGTCTAAAGGCTCTAGCAAAAAATGTTTTTGGTTTTCGTTACAAACGGTACTTAACCGATATTAGAATTAAAAATAAGTACTATGTAACAACGAGGCACAAAGCCACTGAATCTGTACTGAAAATTAATAAATGTGTCTATCGTAACGAGCCTATACCACAAATAGTTTCTCAGTTTAAAAATAAAATCGATTGAATGTAGCGTCTTTGATTTTGTACACATTGCGTAATTAGTAAATTAAAATAATAGACACAATAGCGAAAACTATTTTAACCACAGACCTAACCCTAACCCTAATCAATCCGTGTACATAGGTAGTAGACATAATATAACTATTATTATCAACTCATATTTCACCTAATTGGGTTCCTATGTTACGTCTGATTTCGCTTGACATAGGTATTGTTAGGAAACCCTGATATATCTCTACATTCTGTTTCATGAGAAAATGCTCGAGTCTTACTAATCATCAGAATCATTTTGCACGGATAGGTAGAAACAAAGGCTTGCTATTCACAGTATTCACTTAAATAGCACACACAAAATGTCATGGTGGCCCGGAGGTTTAAGACGCCCTCTTCTCATGCATGAGGATGCGGGTTCGAAACCTACCAACGTCAAGTACCAATGTGACTTTTTCCGAGTTACTTAGGTATTTGTACTTTCTACGATCTAGACAAACGGTGAAGGTAACAATCGTGAGGAAACCTGGGCTTATAATTTCTAATTATAAGTTTGTAATCGCCAACCCGCATTGAGCAAGTGTGGTGATTAATGCTCAAACCTTCTCCGTGTGAGAAGAGGCTTTACTCAGCAGTAGGCATGTATAGGCCGTTAATGACTTAAATAGCATACTGAAGTGTGCTATATTTGTTTTGAAATCATAAAGAAGAAAGTATTTAAAAACCAGTCCTATGTCACACTTGTCTGGATGAACGGAGTACCGAAACTCGAAAATTAATACTAGACAGATTTTAGTACGGTTTCTACTGATAAATAGCGGAATTCTTAAGGGAACTTGGAGTATATAGGTAAGTACATAACATAACATAACATCACGCCTTTTTATCCCCGAAGGGGTAGGCAGAGGTGCACATTTCGGCACTTAATGCCACTATACAATGTAACACCCACTTTTCACTATTTATGTTATGAGTCCCATGTCCATGTAATAGGGGGTGAGATAGGTAAGTACCTACAAGGCTAATTGCATTTGTACCTATAATATTTTTAGTTAAAATAATCTTCTTAGGAGAAACGATAATGTCGATAAATAACTTTAAAAACACTAATGTGTTTTACTTAACCTACCTAAAATACCTAAATATTTTTAATGGAAACTGGAACTTAAAATGAAGAAGAACCTAACGTGATACATTATTAGTTATTCATTATCTGCAAACAGAATTACCTTCCTTTTGCAATAAGGGTTGAACCACTAGACGGGATTGTGCACAATTAGGTAATGCTTATCTGGTAGTTACCGTTAATTGGGGATGGACAACAAAACGTGACGAGAATGGCAAAATGTGGGACTGTAATATATATGTATATTTACCTATCCTCTCTTATATTCTAAGCGTGATGTTGTGTTTTGACCCTACGACGTATATACTACCTATGTTCTCATCAACAACGTATGATAGGTTACTGCTGGATCGTAGGGTTCTTAGAGGAAGGCCTGGCTTCCAACGGTTTCCTACGGTGAACCTGTAATTAATCACCATGCTTGGCCTGATTTAGAATTGTAGTTTAAAGTTCTAACGTTATCCTTACTTATATATATAAAATATAATATATATAATAATATTATAAATCGGAAAGTGAGTTTGTTTGTTTGTTTGTTTGTTCCGCCTTCACGCCGTAACTACTAAACCGATTGCTTTGAACTTTTGCAGACGTAAAGTTAAAAGTCTGGATTAAAATTTTTATTAAAAAATTTATATTCCCGATAAAAAACAAAAGTATTGGTATAGATGGTGCTGTGTGTATTGGTATATGTCACATAGGCTACGTTTTATCCTTTTGTGACACGAGCGAAGCCGCGGATAAAAGCTAGTAAAACATAAGTTATAAAACTTTCTTTAACGTAGCAACATTATAAGGAAAATTGAAATTTACTGTTTTATATTTTTAGATTACATTGATAAGAAGTTTATCTGTTTATGGTATAAGGAAATGCGCCATAATAAAAGCCGACACCCTAAAAACTTCCACGCCAAACTATGGCTGCATGGTCCTATAAAAATGCAGGTCAGGGATGGCCATTATCGTCACGCAAACCGAAGGGATACGGAAGAAAACGTCTCAAAAAGGTTTATTTTCTAAATATCACATAATGTCCCTGAAAGACTAGGTCGAGTTGCGTATAAAATGTAACAATTATTTACCAGTTATGTGATGCCATATCAAATCAAATAAAATCAAATCAAAATCATTTATTCATTACATTTTGGGTAAATAATTATGATCACAGTATTAAGTTAGTACCACCAAAATCTGCCTTCACAGGCGTATGAAATATTGTTAGCTTAAGTCAATAAAGGTAAAATAACAAAAAAAAAATAAATAAAAATGTCATAGTATAATTTTACATTAAAATGAAGAAATAGAATAGAGGATAAGTCTATCGTTACGTATAAACTAGACACAGATGCAAACCTCGATCTAGTTTTAACTAAGAATTTCTAAAATTGGAAATCCCAAAACAGAATAAGTAGGTACGGAGCTTAAAACTGACACAAAATCGCGATCTACTGCTCGACAATCAAAATCACGTTAAAGAGGAAGGAAATCTGATCAGTTGAATGCACTAGACTAGACACAAGTACTTAGGCCCCTTCCTAGTGCACAATAAACAATAAGTTGACCGCATCCAATGATTTGCTTCCCCCAGCCATTGTGATCCAATTCTAACCAAGTCATATGTCATTCAGATGTGCTAGCTACATATATAACACTATTTACATAGTATATATTTATATGTGTATCAATATATAAAGCTACTAGTTTCTTATCACTTTTATTATCTACTGTGTGAAGTTCAATGCCGAAAGTGTAAAAATTGCAATCGGTTACTATTTTTCTTATGACATTTTTGTTTAATTATTATGTTTTTGGCTTATTCACGTAATTTACTTGACGAGGAACTTGACTAGTTTCAAGCCATGCTAGAGACCATATTCATGAGCAGCATTCCGCGACCCGCGACGCGGCGATTGAAGCAGCGCGAAAAACATAAAGCCAAAAAATATAATCATTAATTTAGTATGTCTCACGAAAGTTATAAGATTTTTGTTTCGTAACCTTTCGAAGATAATTGTTGTAATTGTAACATAATAATTATCGGTTTATCTTATCCAAAATTTTTACGATGGAGTTGTCGATACACACCCACTTTTTGTTCATTAATTATAGTCGCTAACATAAAAAAGGAATTCGATGGTTAATGTTACCTCCACCCGGGAATCGAACTAAAATCGGTCTTACAAATAATAATTCAGCGTGACGAACAAAATCGATCTTCGAATAAAAATCAGAGCGAAACATTTTCTCTACAACATAAAAGGTCTACACAACAATGTATTCTATTTGCCCGTAAAATAAAACACTTTCAAAAAATCGTAACGTGAGTCAAAAATGCTAAACAAAGAACATCGCCCAGCCGACTATGTATATAGGTACCTATGTATACCTACGTAGTTTAATGTGGCCATACTTTGTAGCATGTAAATACCTGAACCGAGCCTGAAATACACAGAGTTGTTAAAGATCGTACAGATAATAAAATATCGAGCTGCCCACAAATTCGGGACTTCATTGTCCCCAACCCACTGACTCGAAACAATGGGATCATACAATTTTCGACCCAGTTTCCACCTCAAACTGAAACATCCAACCAACACCATGAATTAAAACTCCCAGTTTTTTAATTAAACATTCTGATACAGGCCACATTGTTGCTGAAAACTTTTCCAATATACTACACACACGAAATAAAGGACTAACCTGTTTGACGATCAGCCTCGCGACTCTGGGGCTGGCGAATGTGACGAAACCATAACACTTGGAGACACCAGCACGGTCGTAGATCACCCTGGCGGCTGTGACGGTCGCGAAACCTGAGAAGAACTTCCACAGGTCCTCGTCAGTCGTGGTCAGAGAGAACCCTCCCACGAAGATTCTATTGTGTATGACGGTCCCGAACTTGGGGGCGTCTGACGGAGGCAGGGTGTCGTCCGTGTCATCTTCGGGGGAGTTCAGCAGCGCCTTCAGCTTCTCGTGTGGGTCAGCCGTCTTCCTATTATTCGCAGTGCTTTCTTCAACCATATGAGCGCAACTCGCAGACTCACTCCTTATGTACCTTTTAACACTTTCCATTGTATCTAACACTTTAAAACACTAATATAACATGTTCCCTTGTTTACTAAACTAAAATCTCTAGCGGCAACTAAAAGGGCACTGGTATTCACGAAAAAACAACTGATTGTCTGTAACGCGAGGTTTTATCGATTACGGTGGCACTTATGTTGTATAGGTAGGTTTTGTGAGTTGCGCGTTACGGACCACGACGTGACTGACACACGGACGGTATTCGAGTGATGTTTAAAAAAAAACAACCGAGATAACAGTGTGTGATTTAAGATTTTTTTAGATACGCACTATAAATAGTGTTTGAGCTATTGTCGACCGCTATTTTTACTAGGCGAGGGAACTAGGTCAGCGGTTGACACCTAGCGGATGAATATTCTTAATGGTTCTTATCTAAGTTAAGTTTAGTTTCTATTTGTTAACTATAGGTGGCGCAGTCACTATCGAGATAATCAGCTGCTCTGCTGTGTATCTACTGATAATTTAAGTTGTTATGATAAGTTTTTTTGCATTGTAATATTTATCACAAAGTTATTTTTATAATATTGAACTAAATTATTCTTAAACCAGAACACAACATGAAAAAAAATTAAAGAAAATGATATATATTCTATACCGATTTTTAGTTGTAATTATTTCGGTAATAATTGCGATTTTCGATTATACAAGAATATTTGCAATAACAAAACGTAATATGACGTTTGTGAATGTTGTATCTGTATAAAATTTCCTCGTATTTGGGTAAAATCAAATCCTATAAGTACAAAATATTTAATTAGTTTCGTCCTTACAAAATAAGGGTTAGACAACAGTTCAAAAATAAAACTAAAAAATTTAAGTGCAATAGATGATAATATCAAATTTAGTATAAAAGCCTATGTTATTTTTGGACTGCCAAGTTTCATTTCTGGGTGTTTTACAAGCGTACTATGGCAACACAGAAATGTCAATGTCACTGCGTCGAGTGGAGGAGGCTGTTTGCTATTTTTTTTTGTGTTTGGATTTCCTTTCCTTGTGCCAATTTCGTTTCAAAACATAATGAGTGCTAAAGCAATAAAACTGTGGTGAAACATCTCGCTGTAGTGATAACAGTTACATTTTGTGGCGTTCTGAACACGAGATAATCAAGTTATGTGCCAAGACTTGTTTGTAATTGGATTATAAAGTTTTCTGAACACATCTACAGTCGTGGTAAGTGTATTTATGTTGTAACAGCTCACCGTTACATCCTCAATTATATTTACGACTGCTAACAACAATCTTAGACGCGCTCAGGCATTAAAGTTGATAAAATAACTTAGTGGCGCGAATCCGAATAGGTTTTTCTTGTTTACCTCCATTTTTTGATAAAAATGTAAAGGTGTCCTTTCCGAGCCGGTTGTTATTATACTTGTTGACGGTATTGTGTATAAATAACACGGGCAAACTGGTTCTGGGGGCATTCAAACTTGTTGGATAAGAAGTTTACATGCACTTGGCTTAAGATTGATATTTGCATGTAAATGTTGATAAAATTCCTACGTAAAAGTAAAAGTGGCTGAATTGTGTTGTCAATTCCTATAAGAATCTTATCTGTATGAATTTTATTATGTCATACATTGTTTCACATAGTGAATGGCTTGTACGCAAACATCAATTACCTACCTACTTTAAAAAAGGAGTTTTGTTTATGGTCAGTCATAGAGAACACTAAACTAGTCTGTATCAACTATTCTTTAGTACATTTGAGCGTTGACCTCAAGGTGCCTTTATATTGTAAACAAAAAGTTTAAAAGTGTTGTTAACCTTTTCGCACGTTTTACAATAATAATCATTATTTATTGTTGAAAAAACTAGTTATGATTTAATTTTATTTGCTTTACTCTTAATAATTTATTAACTAAGTACCTGGATGACTAAGGTTTGCTCAGTGTTTTTTTGTAAATAACATTTTCTGGTAAACCTAGCTAGATTGATTTATGACTCCCAAAACCCCCTAATTACAAAATAAGCTGCTTATGGGACAACATGCTGAATTTTAGACCGCATCATCACTTATCACAAGGCAAGATAGTGGTCAAACATAAAAAAAAATTCAAGAAAATCATTGAAGCCGTCCGAAATCGTTGATATAGATACCTATACAAGAATTGCTTGTTTAAAGGTAATTTGCTAGTAGATTTATTAATATTAATAATGTAGATTCAAAATCAAACTCAAAACAATTATTTCAATAATTGAAATGTCCATTCATCTTTCTGTCAGTGAAGCTAGGCACTCATTCCAAAGTCTAGTTTCGAATGGACATTTCAATTATTGAATTAATTGTTTTGAGTTTGATTTTGAATCTACATTATAAATATTAATAAATCTACAAGACAAGCAAGAAACTCCATCGTCACTCTTTTAAGCAATAGACAATGTGTTTTTATTGTTTAAGACTAACAAACTTGAAAATAAAGTATAAAACAAACTTAAAACTAAAGTACCTTATTAGCATGTTATTTTTATAATTACAATTAATTATAACTTTCTATATAAGCACATGATTCACATAGTATCACTCCTGTAAAAAAATATACTTTGCTAGCTTTGTACAAGCGGCTTAACATGGTATGAATTAAAAGATTTATGTCAAGTATCACACAAAAAAAAATTAATATTGAGATCAAAAGCCATATAGTTCAGGAGTCTATTTACAACAAAAAACCAATCAAATCTTTTCTCTTTTATAATAATAATGCTATATGATAGTTAATTCATTTGTTCAGGCATAGGAACTCATCGAAACAAATTACATTAATCACAAATTTATAAACAACACTGAAATCAACTGCATGGCTGGCTGGAAAGACACCCTGAGCCTCCTCATGAGCCCATAAAAATCTGTAACCCTATACTCCACAAACTGAATATTAACATGACAAGAGAGTAAAAGTAATTCATTATTTACGTAACTAATAGTATCCAATTACAATAACCTTACTGGATGTCTACATTGCCACGAAACAGCTGTGTCAATGTGAAACATACTGTATTTATTTACAACTCAGTTGTAGGACCTTGAATCTTCCAGTGTAAATAATGAATTGCAATAAAATTATTTTACTACTTTGTCACTTTTATCATCGCCTTTTATCTGCGAAAGGGTAGGATGAGTCCCATGTAATAGGGGGTGAGCCTATTGCCATATACCAGGCACAATTCCAGACTATGTGCTACTACTGATTTTTTTTTTATAAACCCAGTAAAACTGTGCCCGCCGGGAATTGAACCCGAGACGCACTTGTGAACACTCAGCCAACGAGGCAGTCAACTTTTTTTTTCTCACTTATCTATACTTAATATTATAAAGCTGAAGAGTTTGTTTTTTGTTTGTTTGAACGCGCTAATCTCCGAAACTACTGGTCCGATTTGAAAATTTTTCTGTGTTAGATAGCCTGTGTTAGGAAGGCTATAGGCTATAAAATATCACGCTACGATTAATAGGCGCTGAGCAGAGCGACTGAAACCGCGCGGAAGTAGGTAGTTTTTAATATTTATTAACTATCTGTGACGCTTTCCCTTTGTTGACCGATCTTCACTACAGATTCATAAGTATGTTTACAATAGTTTATTATTTTTACGCAACTACTCTTTATATGATCCACTAATTATTTTTCTGGGTCTGGGTGCGATTTGTAGTTATATTTGTAAACACGCTGAAGACAGGAGAAAATCTTGTTAAAAATTTTTTACTGCATGAAGTCAAAGTCAAAGCATTTATTTCAATTAATCTTTAATAAGACACTTTTAAAACGTCAAAAATTGAATTGTCCGTCTGTCTGTCTATCAGTGAAGCTAGGCGCTCATAAATAATGGGTTTATTTATTGATTTCATTAAAATATAAAATTGTGTAACATTGCATTCCCAACACTAATTAAAACACAATAAAGTGTCTTATTCAACAAAAATATACTGTCTGTAGGTAATTATTGTCCTTAATTTTGATAATCAATATTTCCCTTGATCCGAGTATCAGAATGTAGATCCTTTTTCTTACCAAATGTATTTGTAGGTTCCTACAAAAAATCTATATAAATAAAAATGAATTTCCATTCGTTAGTCTCGCTAAAACTCGAGAATGAACTGATTTGGCTAATTTTGTTCGTGAAATGTTTAAAAGGTAAGAAAAGGGTTTTAGCGGTATGAAGTTTGTACGCATAACTTAAACAATATAAATAAATAAATTAAACTAAGAAGTAGCTAATGACTTTATATTACTACAGTTTATATTTTGTTCTGACTCACACTTAGACATTGCGCAATGTTTACTATAGTTAGCACAGGTTTTTCCCAATAGGCCAATACTATATCAGTTGGTCTACTCAATGAAATTGTACCATTATTTTATTTATTATACATAATATATACCATGTGTTATTAATTACATATTGAAATCAACCTTATTGTGAAGAAAATAAGTGTGATATTGACTTGATCATATAGATTGATTTATTTATTTTTATTTATTTAACAATTTGGTTAGTATTAATAGAGGTGAATTTATGAATGTAACTTTATTGTTAAAGGTGTAGGGCTTAGTTTTGTTTGTGTCATTTGGTTATTGGTGTTGAATGGTAATTTATAGTAACTAATTAATTAATTATGTTGTGATTTTCATAAAAGCTATATTGTAGTAGTATTTAGGTACCTAATTATTCTGATGTGCCAACAGCAGTTATTGAAAAGAAAAAGAGGTAAATAAAGATAGACTGTTTCAAACACCTTAATGAAATATAGTAAATGGAATACTTAAAATAAAATATTAACTAAAGAATAGATATCGCAAATACAATAACTATAGGAAATCTTTTTCCAGAGGATTTACATGTGTAGAAACTTCATAATTACTTTTCACTGATCTATGATAACCAAAAATCGCGGGTTACTCACGTGAATATACTGAGAAAAACTCAACTAGTTTCGAGCCACAGAGGGGCTCTTCCTCATGGTTTCCTTCCTCTGTGGCTCGAGCTTTTCTCAGTATATTCACGTGAGTAACCCGCGATTTTTAGTTAATTAAGTATGTCCCACGATAGTTATTATAAAAATATTCAAATATACCTACTCGAAGCTAGCGACTTACCAAACAAATATTACATAATAAAAAATTAAACATTTCCTAGTAAATTACGTAATATAAAATGCAACGCACTCAGTACAGGTGGCGGTCGCAAGTAATGACTCATACACCTAATATCAATTTACTAACCCCGAGATTCGAACTCAAGGCCTATCGTTTGGCAGCCGGCATTTGTCACAATTACTATAAGTAGTGAAACTATTCAATTCTATTCAGATGATCGAGCACCTAGCTTCACAGACGGACAGACTGACAGACTATTATTTCTTTTTATATTTGTTGACGTTCCAAAAGTACCAAATTTTGGTTTAATTGAATTAAATTCTTTTGAGTTTGATTGAGA